CTGTGAGGTGAGTGGGGCTGAGAGACTTCAGAGAAGTGTGACTGGCCCAAGGTCACCCAGCAGCTGCATGTGGAGGAGCGGAGACGTGAACCCGGTTCCCCAGATTACGAGACTACCGCTCTTAACCACTACACCACACTGGCTCACAGTGTACCAGTGCTCAAAGGGTACCAGACTCAGCTGCTTACCACTTCTCGAAGCACTGCCACTTCTCCCCAAGGAAGCTCACCATGACATGTTGAGAGAGGATTGGGCCAACTGGAGGCCTATTACTTTGCACACAGCCTATTCAAATCTTCGCAAAGCTCAGCAGAAAAGGCATGTTTGTGTGTTGGTGTTGGTGTAAGTGTGACATGGGGAGTATGTGTGTTAATTTTACAAAACCATAGCTACTCTATAGAGTAGAGATGTGTGAGGTTCAGGACTGACTCTATGGAGTGTGGTGCCCACCTCAGGCAGCAGTGGTAGCTCCTTAGCTATAGTTACTGAGATAGCTGCCATTGACCTCTGTTGGAGGACAGAGTTGAATATGAAAGCCACATAGCTTGGTCTGGGCCTCTAAACTATCCTGGTGCTTCAGGTGCAGTGGAAGAATGCAGTCCCATTGCCAGTGCTGAAGTAAGATCCAGCTGCCAGTCCAGTGGCCTTCTATATGTGGAATGGGGAAGGGAAACCATATTGCTTTTGCCTCAGGCGGCAAAATATCTTGGCCCAGACCTGATGAGGCTCCATCACAAGCTTAAGCCCAGGACTCCATCATCTCTACCATCTTAATCTAGTCTTGATACCAGTTTTCAGCCTTTCCTGAAATGAATATTCTATCAGAGAGATACTAATTGGGGTGAGTATTGGGCAGAACAGGAATGTACAGGAGATAAAGTCATGAGACAAAGACCAGAGAAAGTCATTGGCTGTCATGAACAGCTTGTTACAAGTTCCATTATTCATGTCAGTGGTCCTCTTGTGTCAGTCTTGCTGACTTGATTCCCCTCATTACGGTGCAGGCATGGCAGGTGAGAACGGCAGCGTATTAGCCAAAGCTGCCATGCTTTCTCTGCCTATTATTTCAAATTAATGTGGAGATCCTTAATTGAAAATACAGAACAAGCCCCTTAACTGCAGGCTACCCACTTCCTTCTGACATATTTGGCGTCCATGAGAGAGGTAACGTCTCTACTAATTAGTGAGGGAAAGAGAAAGAAAATTGTATTCACTGAGGCAAAAATAGGGTAAAGAGTAAGGTTGGTTTGTGGTTATTGAATGAAAAGATAACCTCATGAACTCTAAGGGAAGATGTCTTGTTTCTGTGTTGATTGTGTTACCAACGGCTTGTCAAAGTAAACAACTGTATTTTCTAGCTTAAGAAGTTTTTATACATTACATTGGTTCACTTTCTTTTCTTTTTTCTTTTACTTTTGCCAGGAAGCAGAGATAGGAAATGGTTTTATTTCCACATTAGATTGAATTGTAGACACTTAGCCAGCCTCACTGTTGGCCTCAGACTTACATTCTCACAAATGTCCTAGATTACCTCACAGAGTTGTTGGGAAGCTAAAATGGCATTGTATCTAGAAATCTGTCTGATAGCCATAAATGACCAGGAATCCCAGGTGTTATTTTCTTTAAAACTCTGCAGATATTTCAAGAGCAAAATGTTTCGTTATATATCAGACACAACACACATTGCTTAATAATAAAATAAATGTATATATTTTTTAAATAGCTGGACAAAAACAAAGCCAAAACTAGACAATATTTGACATTTCCCCTCTGAACCTCTTGGGCACTATTGAAATACATTGCACATGCAGAGAGAAAACTTACACATCTACAGTATGGTTCTTATTAGATCCAACCATTTTTAATATATTTCTGACACAGACAAAAATATACATCTATTAACAAATAATAGCCACAGATACTACCCTGTTTAAATAGCAGACTTACAATTATATACTGACGAGTTGCACATTTTACTCAGTCAAATCAGCTTGAAGGGTAGACAGGTGATCTTGACCATTTTCTTTCTACTATTTAAAATATTTTAGATACATTTCAAAGATTAAATGGCTGTACTCTATGAAAATAAAAGGCTAAGATCTTATTGTTGCTGTGTATATGATTAACACTGTTAACGTTTACATTCATTTGAGGCTCTCGTAAGGTTAGTAATGTACCGTACATCTATCACCAGCCCTTGAGGGCAAAAAGAGATAAAATAATATTGTACTGTTGACATGGGCTCATCTGTGGACAGGCTCAGAATCTAGTCCCATCCCCTTCTCTTAGCATTGCAGAAAAAGAAGTCCTGCAGCTTCTAGTTTGTGCAAAGCTGTGCCACTGTTAATAGCAGTGAAACTTGATCAGTTTGGGCAAATGGGGCACTGCCCCACCAACCTCAGTTTGTCCCCAGGCAACTCCCACCTGCCCCTCTTTCAAACAACCAGTCCAGGACATGCCTATCAGCTTCCACCCTCAAAGTCTCAATGCTTCCCTTGTTCAATGCAGCAAGGGGATGAAACTAGCATTAGCTGGGTCTGACTGCTATTGGCTCTGGTTCCACCTGTTCTTGGTCACCCAATGGGTGCCCATTCCAATGGGCACAGGATGGAGTGATGGAGGACCCACTCTGTGGGCTTTACAGGGCTTGGCTCTCCTGTCCACATCTGAGCCTTTCCTACCCTAAAAAAACCCACTTGGCTGAGCCCTTGCGCCATGTTGCTCTTGCAACAACATCAATGGGCTACTGCAGTGCTGGAGCTCCTTGCGACAGACCTACAGTTTCAATAACCATTGCTAGTTATCAGAAGCTGTGGTGGGGAGGCTCCCTCTCACTCATGTACAGAAAGAACAAAGAACAAATAAAAATAAGATAGAGCGTAATCCAGTCCCACACAGGCACAGTGCCCACATAAATGGAGGATTTTTGTAATGGCAAGAGACCCTGTTTCTCACCCCTCCTCCCTGCCTGCAGGTGCAAAGGCAGGGGAGCAACGAGGTCTCTGTTGAGCCTACGGGAATCCTTCCTTCATGGACTGGGCCTGTCCTGGTCCAGGAGTCAGCTTTGCCTGTTGAACAGCAGCCTGAAGAGGAGAAGGCGGAGTGACTCCACCTTCAGCTGATCAGTCATTGAGGAAATGGGGGAGATGGCAGTGGTGAAATGCAGCTGGCTTTGGCATTCTTAAATGGAGCTCTCAGCAGCAGCCTGGGGTTCCTAGCTCTACCTAGCTGCTTCCTGCTTTCCATCTGGACCGTTGGTCCCGTGGATTCTCTATCCTCTGAACTGTCTCACTATGCAGATTGCTGCCTGCCCAACCCTCAGAATGGATTTGACTTCAGATGTGGATTCTGCTGTCAGGCCAGCGTTTCTTGAAGACTTCTAGCCCCAGCTTGTTCGGCAGTGGGACCCAGATGGGCCCACCATTTTTAAGTGTATGCATTCAATGTTTTGCGTGAAGATATGGAAAGGTCATAGAGGAAAGAGCAGCCAGTTCCCAGCTCTGGAAATTCCCAGCACCTGAAAAACTCAGCACAAGAATTACCATTCAGTCTTTGGTTGTACATTTCTTTCTATATATCTCTGGATACAGGTGACAAAAATGTGCACCCAGCCAATCGGCTCAAAGATTTCCCATCTGGCACATACAGCAGAATGATTACAGATCATTTGCCAGGTTTTTGTGGTGTTCTGAACAGTGCTATGGCGAGGTTTTCATCTGTGAAAAGCTATAGGCCGTCCTGTTGTGCAACACTGTATGCTCGTACAATCATTTTAAGAGATGGCCATAGGAAAGGCTATGCAACTAGGGAGGCCCTCTGAACCTTTGGCCATCGATGTTGTGAGGGTGCCTTCACAGAAAACATATGGAAACCACTGCAAAATATTGCTTCCTTCTCGTCTACCTTGTGCCAGCTGTCCTGACTTGAAATAGTGTGTGATAGGCTCAAAACATCCCTACTTTCTTCTTCTTGTTAAGATACTCCCTGATACAATACAGGAAGATGAGTCCTGATTGCTGAGCCATGATAAACTTGGGTAGAAATGTGGGAACCTGCTACACTAGAAGTGTACCAAGCTGCAAAAAATCTGATTACTTAAAAATGCCGCAACTTATCCATAGTTTTGCTTTGACGCTCAGGAAAGCACATTTACAGCAATTCATCATTTGTCCCCGTCCCCCGTTTCATAAAGGACAGGGTGAAGTAGTTCTCAGAGTGAACTTCTGGAACTCCCGAGATATTAATAAATGTTTTTAAAAAATGAAATACTTTTGGATGGAAATTTGCATCATTTAATTTTGAAACGAAACTATTATCACAGTTCATTATCCCATTATTGGATCTACTTAGGATCAAATCATGTGCTATGTAAGAGATCTGTGAATGGATCTCTCCATGTAGTTTTGTTCTCCTAAATGGAATATCAGTGGGCTAGGGAAAGAGGAGATCTAAGCCTTGCACTGTATTCCCATTCCTCAGCCATCACGGCCCATGGTCAGGGGTGCTTTTAGCTAGAAGTAGCAGCCAAGAAATATAGTTTTCCTCAGGGGATCATGGGATTTGTAGTTTTCTCTGCTTCATTAATTGAAACCCATGATCTTCGTCAGCAAATACTGGCTGAGATGCACAGCATTTTTAGTCGTCGTCCCCTGCCTCCCAATTAAATTTGAAGGGAGAAAATGACAAACTCCCTAATTCCCAGCGGGAAACAACACTCCTTAACACCAGTTTCAGTTAGAAGGAGGCACCACAAGTTCCCTCCCATATGTAGTGAACCCTCCCTGATGTTGGTTGCTCATGTTCTCTTTGCAAAATTAAGGTTTTTATTGCTTGGGATGGAGGATTGGCAGGGAAGGACTGCCTAGCAGTTGAGGTGCTGAATAAACCAATCAGATGGGTGGGGTACAAATAATAAAATTATTAGTATTAGTATTAGTATTATTATTAAACCAGATGGACCCAAACTCAATGGAGTGATGCCTCTCCAATTGCCCTTCCAATTCGCAGTTCATTTCCAAGTTTAATTGAAACATTCAGTACTGTCCTACACACTGAAATGGTACAACCAAGCAACAAATGAATTGCATGGGAGGTTCTGTTCATCTGTAGTAGGGATTGCTTATTACACTTCCTCCGAACCAGATGCTGAACATTAATTATGGCTATAGTTGATTCTTTCAGGTACCTGAATAAAAGTAATTTTAAAATAAAAAAGTTACTTAATCTTTTTATTTTCAAACATTCCCCTCCCAAATACTAAGTTACTTGGCTTCATTCAAATGCTAGTTGAGCAACTTATTCTATTCCAGCGCATTTTATCGTAAAACACAACAATTTATTCCACAGACTATTCCTAGAAATGAGCTGAAGAGGGTTGTGCAGTGGTTTTTGTTTGCTTGTTCCCTGTCCATTCTTTCTCCCTCAACTAAAACGCCTCTGATCTCCCTTTGTTGCATACCCTGTTGCATTGTGGGGGATGTGAAAGCGATTTCTCTCCTCCGTTGGGCCGTTGTCACTTATCTTCTGCTGCGGATACATCGGGACTTGAATCGATATCACTGAAGGCCTCTTTGTTTGTGAAGGTGCTGCTTAGAGTCAAACTGTGCCGAGGGTTCACAGGGGCCAACTCGTTTAAAACAATATTGTCACTTTTCACAAGAGTGGCCTTGTCCATGTTCTCCTTACTATGCTTCGCAACAACGGCATCCAAGAAGTCAAATTTGGGTGGCAAAGTGCTGCTTTCAAACAAGTATTTTGCCAGATAGGATACTCCAATGTTAGTGAAGAAAGAGGTAAGCATGGCTAATGTTTTAAAAGGGAATCTCTGAATTTGCTGTTCTTGATCCCAACCAGGATAGAAAATCAAGGGTTGCAAGTGCAAATACGGTTCTCCTCCAGTAATTCGTAGTATGACACCAAACAGATACCCTGCAACGGCGCCGTAGGTGTTGGTTCCTTTGATGAAGAGGACACACAAGAGCTGGGGGAAGATGATGATGTAAACCAGGTCAGAGCTGAGGTACCAGAGCCCATAAACCGACTGAGCTAGTAGGGCCATTGCTGTTGCTGCTGCTCCAAACACAAAAATGGTAATTCGCATGACCCAGACTATTTCTTTGTCTGACGCCTGTAAAAGAAAGGAACAAAACATTGTTTTCTACCAGTGAGTTTTCTTACAGGAATATCCATAAAGGACAGAATTATATAGATTTAACGTGATTAGCGGGGGAAAAACTCTTGAATCTGAGACATCCATAACCAAACTGACCTGAAAGGATTCTGATATTTATCAAGTTCACTCTTCAAATCTCCAATGACTACAGAGCTTTGGAGAGGAAATCCCGTTGTAGGACATGGTACTTAATATTACTGAACAGGTCTCAAAATATCACAGACCATGAGCTGTATACAATAGAACAAACATTGGTTGCAGCTTGAGGTTAATCTGGAGAGACCTAAACAGTGATCCCAGATTTGGAAGACGCACTAAGCCAAACTATGACTTAGCTCAGTGCAGCGCCACAGCAAAATGACAGGGGAGGATTGTGAATCATCTTCAACAAGTAGCTTGAACCGAGGCAGAGGATCATTGCTCAGAATATACAACCACTGAGTATACCAAGAAAATCTGGGATTCTTTGTGTACCAATTTAATGTGTGCTCAAGGTATTGAATTGCCTTCCCTTGTTCCTTGTGGGTAGAACCAGGAAGGCATTTGCACACAGCCCAGAGTTTCAGGGCATCAGAAGCTACAGTTGTAGCTTCCTTAAATCCAGGGCTATTTTTCTAGAAAAAGAGGTCACAATCAGCACCTCCCACATTCTCTTGGAATGGCAATGGCACCCACCTGAGAGGTGCTGGAACTAAGTTCCAGTGACTTCAAGCTGGGGGGGAAAAGCCCTGCTCATATCTCTATATTTTGTGCAGCTCAGAAACAATTAAGTGCTCATTTTGCTTTCTGTGTTCATTGTGCCACCAGTCACTATTGGCAGCATGGCTAATCCTATCGCAGAACGAAACTGGGGTTGCAATAGTGAATCTTACACTTTGCCGAAAAGATAGCTGGTAGATGTTCCGGGCAAACATGGAACTCGCCGATAAGATGGAAGAGTCGGCGGATGACATGACAGCAGCAGAAACTGCCCCGAGGCCAAAGAAGGAGATATACACTGGGCAAAGGTACTGGAGGACGATGGGTAAAATCATGTCAGCTTCATAGTTGTCTTTGGGGTCTGAATCACCATACTCTGTCTGGTTCCAATCTGTAATGCAAGCACACGAGTATTATGACCAGATCAGCACGAATGAAGCTTTGACTTCTGCACTGAGGGAAGCGTTTGGAGCCCATTTGGAGCATTTCAGGGGTGTCCACTGCCAGCGGTGGTTGTGGCCGGAGACAAAAGTTGGGTGGATCGATGGATGTGATTCTTACCTTTGACAACAGGCTACATCGCACTCACCTAAAACTCAGGTTTTTACACCAGTTCACCTCTCCTTCCAGACAAGCAGAACACATTGTCACTGTTCAAGGACACCTTCCAGCTAGGCAAAAACTCTCAAGGAGGGTGTGAGGCAAAAGCAAGGAGAGGTGTTGCTTTGGCAGGAGCAAGGAGGCAGTGAAACAACTGAGGACCAGATAAATTGGCCTGGAGGACTACGTCTTGGCCCTGAGTCTGATGTTATCTACCTCTGCATTAACCCTTCTTTTATAAGAGTAGTATTTCCAAGTATGGTGTGTGTGTGTCCATATCTATCTATATTTATAATCTATCTATCTATCTATCTATCTATCTATCTATCTATCTATCTATCATCTATCTATCTATCTATCTATCTATATCATCTATCTATCATCTATCTATCTATCTATCTATCTATCTATCTATCTATATCATCTATCTATCTATCTATCTATCTATCTATCTATCTATCATCTATCTATCTATCATCTATCTATCTATCATCTATCTATCTATCTATCTATCATCTATCATCTATCATCTATCATCTATCTATCTATCATCTATCTATCTATCTATCTATCTATCATCTATCTATCTATCATCTATCTATCTATCATCTATCTATCTATCTATCTATCTATCTATCTATCTATCTATCTATCTATCATCTATCTCATCTATCTATCTATATCATCTATCTATCTATCATGTATCTGATTTTGGGATGGGATGGGGAGAAGAAAAACTTCCTAAGATCACATATATATATATATATATATATATATATATATATATATTTGCTTTCGTAGATTTTCACGGGTACAGGAATGCAGGTTTTGGTGTCCTCGGGTGTCTTCCCGTGTAAAAGTTGGGGTGTCTAGGCGACGTTTCGACGAGGTCTCACTCGTCATCTTCAGGCTGGTGCTTTCGGCTTCTTGTTACTGGAACAGAGCAGGATCTCAGTGTTTGAGTTCCTATAAATACTGTTGAGGGGGTGTGGTGTAAAGCCTCCAATGTTCTGGGCAGAGAGGAAGTTCCCAGGCTAGTGTGCCTTTTCTTCTTTTGTTCCTTAATTACTTGCGGGATATCTTGAGTGATTTCTTGAGTGATATCCTGAGTACCACTTAGGTGGGTCATTAGGTGTGGATTAGTTGCTAAAGCCTTCGTGTCTTGACCTCTTGAACTTTGTGAAGAGTTTTTCTGAGAAGATGGCTGTACTGCACTAAGTTGTGCTTTGGCTTGGCTTCGTGTATAGGGGCGAGCTGTGGTTTTGTGTCCTGTGCCAGCCAGATCTGTGTAGGGATTGCAGGGGGGTGCAGCATCCGGAGGTGCCACCATGGTTTGGCTACTGGATGGTGTCTGTAATTTATCTGTGGAGAGGGTCTGGGTTTGGGTCTGGTGTGGTTGATTGGTGATGGCGTTCTGTGTGCCTCTGGATCTGGTGTCGGTTTTTGTGGGGAGGGCTAATTTCCAGATGTCTGGCAGGCGGGATGTGTCGTCACGCTTGTTCATGTTGTGAGGGTGTTTCTCTATCTCGATGGCTTCCATGATTATTCTCTTGTGGTGATGTTCCATGTTAGAGAGCAATTAATTTTGCAGATTCCAAATTGCTCTCTAACATGGAACATCACCACAAGAGAATAATCATGGAAGCCATCGAGATAGAGAAACACCCTCACAACATGAACAAGCGTGACGACACATCCCGCCTGCCAGACATCTGGAAATTAGCCCTCCCCACAAAAACCGACACCAGATCCAGAGGCACACAGAACGCCATCACCAATCAACCACACCAGACCCAAACCCAGACCCTCTCCACAGATAAATTACAGACACCATCCAGTAGCCAAACCATGGTGGCACCTCCGGATGCTGCACCCCCCTGCAATCCCTACACAGATCTGGCTGGCACAGGACACAAAACCACAGCTCGCCCCTATACACGAAGCCAAGCCAAAGCACAACTTAGTGCAGTACAGCCATCTTCTCAGAAAAACTCTTCACAAAGTTCAAGAGGTCAAGACACGAAGGCTTTAGCAACTAATCCACACCTAATGACCCACCTAAGTGGTACTCAGGATATCACTCAAGAAATCACTCAAGATATCCCGCAAGTAATTAAGGAACAAAAGAAGAAAAGGCACACTAGCCTGGGAACTTCCTCTCTGCCCAGAACATTGGAGGCTTTACACCACACCCCCTCAACAGTATTTATAGGAACTCAAACACTGAGATCCTGCTCTGTTCCAGTAACAAGAAGCCGAAAGCACCAGCCTGAAGATGACGAGTGAGACCTCGTCGAAACGTCGCCTAGACACCCCAACTTTTACACGGGAAGACACCCGAGGACACCAAAACCTGCATATATATATATATATATATATATATATATATATATGTATGTATATATATATATTACTACTTTATTTTCCAGTTTCTAAAAATACATATAACAAACAATCCCCATATCCCCACCCCAAGTGTGGGCAAGTGCTGAATACAGATTTCCTAAGGCTCAAACTAGTTGCTACATGTATGGCCACATTTAATAAACAATTTGACCCTTAGAAAACCTCGATTCAGCCTTTGCTTGGTAGGTGGCTCAGCTTGGGGACATCCACACATTTAACGTGTGATAATATAAATGTTCTATGCATCTCTCTGTGCTTTAAAAAAGGAACTTCAAGGGGAATCAAATCCAGACTGCAGCGCAGAGGACCTTTCCCTCCATGTCATGGTCCCGATGGAAATTCCCCCCTCACCTACAAAGCTGCTGTTTGTGCCAGAAAGGAAGCTGCTATTGATGCCAGTACCAGCTTCCCTGGTGGGTCAAAAAACATCTTCAGCAGAAGGAAGAGTGCTAATCTCTTTCACCACTCACTGTGGTCCTGATCATTGTCCAAATACTGTAATGCAAAATTGGGATAAGTGCAAATTTCTATGGATAGTAATGCTTCATTTTGCATATTGTTTCAGAAAGTGCAAATTCTACGGATTTCCTTGTAAATGAGAACTGGATTGGGTTTCTTCGCCATCCCTGCAGTAACGTCATTCCCTTCGTACCCACTGCTTTAAGTAACGGTGATCTGGGCACTCAGTGTACCTGTTGATGCGCCAATGGCACCAATGAGTACGGCAGGCACTGCCATCACAATACATCCAAAAGCTGCCAGAAAGGATAACACTTGTGCGTATGTAGCAGAAGAGGAAGAGAGAACTCGCTGGAAATATGCTTGCCATGGGATTCCTCCTAAGGTCTGCAAGGAAAAAGAAGGAAACCCTCCATCATTTCTGGGCTAACAGAAGATCATTTGAGTTCATTTGAATACATGCCAAGCTACTATTTTACTATTTCAGAATGATTTCACCCAGTATTTAAACCTGTAATCATGAAATAGCTGCACCTTCAGCTCGAAAATGTATTTAAAAACAAATATTGGAAGGGTTTTCTTCTGATGGCAACATGTGGAATTGAGGCAAGAAGGTCTTTGCTCCCATAAAGCTAGATTTGCTCTGGTGCCATTGCTCCTTGGCCCAAGTGTCTAGAAAGCAATATCAGAGGAGAACATTGATGCAAATTTTCAGCACCCCACACTTGCTAAAAACACAGCAGGAAAGGTCAACTCAGTCTTTTAACATCAGGAACGCTTGTGCTCTCTTATTTCTGAACAAAGCGTAATCCCAGAGAGCAGCTCCCTTGTAAAAGGGAGATGTGGCAAGCCTCAAGAAACATAGTGTACCCTGTTATGGTGTGTAGAAACTCTCTTCTCGAACACAGCACCCCCCCAAAAAAACTTCTGCTCATTTCCAGTCTTGTTCAAATTATCTACCAGTCTACTTTCCTTGCTCCCTCATTATTTTTCCATTCTATCCTCCAGCGGGTGCAGAATGCTGCAGTGAGGCTCCTCACAGGGTCTCTGCCATGGGAGCATATTCACCCAGTGCTTTTCCAGCTGCACTGGCTCCCGGTGGAGTACAGGGTCAGATTTAAGGTGCTGGTTTTGACCTTTAAAGCCCTTCACGGTCTAGGACCCTCGTACCTATGGGACCGCCTCTCCTGGTATGCCCCACGGATGACTTTAAAGTCCATAAATAGCAACACCCTAGAGGTCCCGGGCCCTAAGGAAGTCAGATTGGCCTCAACCAGAGCCAGGGCCTTTTCAACTCTGGCTCCGGCCTGGTGGAACGCTCTGTCTCATGAGACCAGGGCCCTGCGGGATCTGATTTCTTTCCGCAGAGCTTGTAAGACAGAGTTGTTCCACCTGGCCTTTGGCTTAGAATCAGTTTGATTCCCTCCCCCTCTTTCTTTTTCCTTTCTCCTCCTGTGAAGAGGCTGCATCCTAATGTTTTAATGTTGTATTTTAATCTTGTTTTTTAAATTGTATTTTAATCAACTTGTTTATATTATTGGTTGTTAGCTGCCCTGAGCCCGGTCTTGGCTGGGGAGGGCAGGGTATAAATAAAATAATATTAATAATAATAATAACTATCCTCCGTGCCTCCTTAATACAAGATGCTATGGAAACTGGAACTGGAAATCATTTTGCATTAATCACTGTTAAGCTTCTTTAACTTATTCTCTAACCTAATCTTCTTCTTCTTCGTCTTCTTCTTTTTCTTCTTCTTCTTCTTCTAAAAAAATCTATCAAGTGCCACCATATTCCTGCTCCTGACTATTGGTATCCCACCTTCCCACTCCCTTTAATTACAGATTCAGTCATCTAATGTACCTCAGTATCCAGCCAATCCAATCATAATAAGAGTTTCCTAAGTCACCTGCAACAGAGGTGTCTGTCCACTTTTTCAAAGCTGCTACATTAATGCATGATTATTGTTAAGTGGCATGTGGTTTGCTTCAACATATGGTTAGATAATTAAAAAGTAGTTATTGAGCATCTCTTGCTTAGTTGGTTTGCAATTGTAGAGTTTGTAGAGTAAAACTGTGAGTGGCAGGCCATGGTTTGTCACAGGAGTGCTCACCAATAAGAGGAAATTGTCAATCCACTTGTAGATGTCAGGTTTTTTAATGTTTCCAAGCCAAGGCTCTTGAAAGACAGTGTGTACAGCTGTGTATCCAATATCTGTCACTGCAGGATGGGACATGGCAAATGGAACACTGATCCACTAAAATAAAAGAGAAGCTATCATTCAAAATTGGTCACTAAGGAAATAATGAAGAAATAGCAGCAATATTTGATTAATTAATCTCTTCCTCTTTTTCCTTTTTAACTGTTATTCAGGTCAAATATAGATTTCAATAACTAAGAAAATACAGGCATTAGTTTTTCTGAGTACCAGGATTTCTTTCAAACAGAAATAAAATTTGGCACAGAACATAGGTAACAACAGATTCAAATGGAAACATAAAATGAGTATATTGCAGACAGGATATTTTCTAAGCTGAGCTTATAGGGCAGGTGTAATACCTGTCCTACCTTGAATGAGATTGATAAAGACGTGTGAATGTATTGTGTAGGATATTCTCTTCTGAAGAGTGAGGACACACTATGCAGTATTTTACAACCAAAACACATACACAAGTTAAAAATGAACTAAACAAACTTTAAAAATGATAGACCCAACAAAATAAAAATAATAATTTTCCCCTTTGAAAAAACATCAAGACAAAATCAAACGGCAATGCAATATCTCTGGAAGATACTTGGGTTCTGATTCTGCTAAGTTTCCAATGGGAAAGAATGTGGACATTTCTCTGTGCACCCTTCCCACATGCATTAAACACCAAGTTAAGATGTTGCTCTGATTAATTTTGGATATAACGTCTGTAAAATATAAATGGTCAAAAATATATAAGGTCAAAGCCATCCTCTTGACTTGAGCCTGAAGCATAATAGGGATCCAGTGTAGAAGAAGAAGAAGAGTTTGGATTTGATGTTCCGCCTTTCATTCCCCTTCAGGAGTCTCAAAGCGGCTAACATTCTCCTTTCCTTTCCTCCTCCACAACAAACACTCTGTGAGGTGAGTGAGGCTGAGAGACTTCAAAGAAGTGTGACTGGCCCAAGGTCACCCAGCAGCTGCATGTGGAGGAGCGGAGACGTGAACCCGGTTTTCCAGATTACGAGACTACCGCTCTTAACCACTACACCACACTGGCTCTGTGTAGGAACAGAGCAGTGGTCTAGTAATCACTCTTGTCAAAAGACAATTGTGTCTACCACTACTTTTCATGGGCTGCACCACACACAAGTCCAGCCTTAAGGGTCACAGGGGAATCACAAAGAGTCCAGTGTTTCTCAAACTTGAGACTCCAGCTGTTGTTGGACTACAACTCCCATCATTCCTAGCTAGGAAGACCAGTGGTCAGGGATGGTGGGAGTTGTAGTTCAATAACAGCTGAGGGCCCAAGTTTGAGAAACATTGTGGGAACAGTACTAGTATTCAAACTGGAAGCTTTGCTATTGGGGCAAGGTTATCCTGTTGTTGTAAAGAGGTGGGCACAAAACATCTTTGGTTCTAGTTCTTTCCTGACCAATAGGAGTCAGTTAAAACTGTAAATGTTGCAAAGGAACAAGGCATGTTCCTTCTGCACATACTACAGATACTATAATTATAATTACACCTGTACAGTTTGACTGATAAGAACATCCACACACCCACAGAGTTGTGCAGCACCTCTCTCACAATTCAGGCTTAAATAAAGCACTTGCAAGACAACCATCGTTTCAGACACATAAATATTATACAGAAACTTACCAGTCCAAAGAAAATGCAGAACAGCTGGACCACATCAGTATAGGCTACTGAGTAAAGTCCACCCACCAGTGTGTACAAAGTTGCAATTAGGGCAGAAATAGTAACCGATATATTGATATTGATATCAATGATCACACTTATGGTGGCACCTGCAGCAGAGGTTGGGGTTAAGGAAGGGAAACAAACCTATTTTAGAAATGCACGCTCCTTTTCAATCTGTTTCAGTTTTCCCCAGTTTCTAAAACAACACTATTGCTTGCTGGAATCTTTTAAGACAGATTCAGAAATAGTCTAATCTTTTGTAGGAAATGTATACTTTTTGTGCATTCTGCAATTTTGTTCATTCTGCAACTATGTCTTTTCAGAAGTCTGAGGTACATGATTTCTTAATTTAAAAAAGTGGTTGCTTCTTGAAAATATATCCACGTGGTATTTTCTCAAAACTACCACTGTCAAGTTGGTCTTCCACATGACAGAGTGTTTCAAATTCTCCACTGGCCATCTTTAGAAGCATTCAGCGCTGGTGTGAAAATTCTGTAGGCCACGCAGGAGAACTGCATGAGGCACTATCACCACAAACTATCTTGTTTGAAAAAGGGACACCTGCCTGTAGAGTTGTGAGAAGAAAACACAGAAAAAAAAGGAAGAAGGAAGATCTGGCGAACCCTGAGCTCTGTGACAACAGAACTCTCCAAACTTGCACAAAGTCATTATGAGGCAAGAGTGTTCAACGTATGCTGACATATTTTACTCAAACTTTAAAGGCAGCTCCAGTCTCTGAGATAAAATGTTAAAGGCATACCTAGAGGGGTAGGCTCTGATCTGCTTTGGGGTTGTAAGTCAAAAGTCTGGGCCAGATTAAACTAAATAGTTGTGCTAGCGGGAATTAGTCCCTCTGCTTTCCCCCCTCTTCCTCACCTCCATCAGGTGTGTGTGTGTGTGTGTGTGTGTGTGTGTGGTCATCTCTCAGAGCAGTGCATTTGGGGTGGGGGAGGAGGGGAGACCATTCCATCAGAAATAGAACCTAAACACACACACACACACACACACACACACACACACACACACACACAGGATCTCTTGAGTTGTGATCTGATAACTAGATTTAGAATTTTTAAAAAATCTAGCCACCCAAAAGAGATCTTTTCTTATGACATTCAATAATGTTATATGGCAGCTACACCTCCTATAGCCTCTCTTTGATGGAGAGGCTTCACATGACAACTTGCTTTTCACTTTCTTTGGCACTATACAGTAATGCACACTTTGGCTCAGTTTCACTGCGCTTAATTGCTATGCACTTGATGGCTTGCTCCTGAATAGTGGGGTTACCTGACCCCACTTTAAATGTTGCATTTGAGTTGATCTGTCAGTTCTATCTGTGGTGTTAAATCTGCAACAGTCTTTCTGAGCGTTCATGATCACACATGGATGAGTGAACCAGCACTAAGTGGATCGGAAGGACCAACAAGCTTATACTTGAGTATGTTGCTCTCCAAGGTCCTATCTCAGAGTTGATTTCAGCCATGCATTGTGTTGCCTTAATGCTCATAACTGATAAATTCCACCTAGCTCCTAGTCTGCAAGTTGCCCTGTTATGAGCCTACCAGGCTGAAAGGCATTCACAGTGCTCACTTTCTCATTGTGAAGCCACAGAAAACCTTTATTAAGTTTGAGCTGTGTGCTTTTTTTAAAATAAAAAGAACACGTTTTAAATTCCCTGAAAGTTGTTTAAGCCACTCAGCTTCCATCACCTCAGCATGCAGTTATTCTCAGACTCTTGAGCACTTGCAATAAAATTATGGTTAAAAAGTTCCCCATTGATTTCCAGCTAATCAGAGCACAGTTGGAAAGAAGGCTGATTATTTTATTTTTAAAAGAGTGCAACACCAAACAACTTTATATGTGCAGTTGATGGGGGCTTGTGTGTGTGCTTTTTAAAGTAGCAAAAGTTGCAAAGGTCACTTACAGTAATTCATCTGAAGGGTTTCCCCCCCATGCTAGAAGAGTTATCAAACTTGGTTCTTGCAACAGAATGAAAAACATTCAGATACAAAATTCCACCAGGGACTAAAATTCAGTGATTTCATACTAAAAACTCTAGATAATAACTTTGTACATGAAGTTTCAATGGAAAGCATCATGCAGTTTCATTACTACCGGTTGAAAAAAGATCTTTTTCACATGTTAGAGAAGTGCAAACACACATGATAAAAACACACTCTTTATACAAAATATGACATGCAGACATAGCACATACACAGGTTTATGTGTGCACAGACAATGCTTTAGGTATGTAGTAGTCATATCCCATGTTAACTCTTTCATATGTGGGACATGCCACTAGCTCCTCTACCAACCAAACTGGATCCTAGATTTTTAAGGCTGCAATCCTACACATACTTATCTGGTAGTAAGTTCTATTTAACTCATTGGGTCTTATTTCTGAGTAGATCTGTATAGGATTGCATTGCACATCATTAGTTCAGATTAAAAGATATACAGTGGTACCTCTGGTTATAAACTTACGGTAATTCGTTCCGGAGGTCCTTTCTTAACCTGAAACCGTTCTTAACCTGCCGCCGCATGATTTCTGTTCTCATCCTGAGGTAAAGTTCTTAACCTGAGGTACTATTTCCGGGTTAGTGGAGTCTGTAACCCGAAGTGTCTGTAACCCGAGGTACCACTGTATGTATTCTACATTATTTGATCAGTCCCAGTTCACTGCATGCAGCAGAATTATGGGGAAAAAAATTCCCATGAAATCTTCTATGGTAATCAAAGTACAATAGCCAAACACTAGTAATGAAAGATATCATTGCTGTGTTTTGAGCTCTTCACTACAAAGGCTGAATTGCTTAAAAGCAACAAGAGCATTTTCAATTGCAATGTAATCTCTTTAATATTAAAACAAGTTGGGTAGCTAAAACCTTTCATGATGAATCTTCTCAAATGTTACTATAAATAATAATGGTTCTTTTTTGCCGTCAGTTTTCTGATAAACAAGTATCATCACATGACTAGGGTGATGCATTTATGGTGAGCACTTGGGTTTAGCTATACATTTCTCTATGCCAGTGTACTTCAGGCTTGAGTTCCAGATATTACTATACTTCAGCTCCCATTGTGCCCAGCCAGCTTAGCCAAACATCAGGGATGAGGGAGTTGTATTCCAACAACATCTAGAGACCCAAAGTTGAAGACCACTGGTCTATGCCACATGGATTGTTAGCATTTGTATTGATCGCTTTTCAATAGTTGTCCTCGAGCCACTGGCTGGATTTCTTGGCTCCATGTTATGACATAGTATTCCTTACCTAATGCAGAAAAGATGGCTGCAGCCCAGAACATTTCCCCCATTAGGGCAGGTATGAAGATAAGCCCTCCCATTCGTTTTCCATAAATTTGCTGAAAGGGGTCCAGCATTGTCACATAGCCTTTGGAACGCATGGGCTTTGCAAAAAACAAACCACCTGAAGCAACAAACATGAGAAAGACAATAGACATGAATAATAGCAAGTGATCTCAGATATGCCTGGTTCCATGTAAGCCCCATCTCCAGTAATCAATCAAAATCTGTGGTTCTGCACTATTTTAATATATTTTCCCATTTAATAGAAGACTTCAGATATTCAGCGGAACACTAGTGGTGTCTTGGGGTTGCAGTGCTCACCTGACCTCCTGACAGCTGAGTCACTGCTGAGAGGAGAGGGAAAGGGGTGAATTAGTAGGAAGGTCAGTGGGGTGCAAATGGACTGGTGGAGCCAGGCCAGTGCATTTGCACCACACTGACCTCCCCACTGCCTTGCCCCACCCCCCACCCACGTTCTGGTAAGTGGTGGTGATTCAGCAAAGGGGACCATGAGCTTTTGATTATAAGTACCACCTTGAACATATGGGCATGTTTCACAACCATACATAGGCAGATGATTCCTGTTCTTGTCTCTGGGAGAAAACATCGTGTTCACACAGGGCGAAGTGAATGTATCAACGGCAAATTACTTTTCATCTAGATGAGAAGAAGGAAAATCCCTCCCATATTCAAGATTCTGGAACAGTTCCTTCCTTAAGGGCCATTGATACAGACCTGAATGAAGTAAATCATTGCACCATTCAAATTCAGATTATGCCCAATTGCATTCTGTCTCAGGATGCAAGCAAAAATGTTAACTTTGTGAAGTGCTGAAAGCATTGAAAAGATTTTGGATTCTCATGAATTCTTGAGTTTGGTGGAGGCAACCAAATAATGATGATGGTGCTTAGCAGTTTTAATGTGCTGTTACATTACTAAGCTTGTGAGTAACATAACTGGTGTCTAAGCACAGACTAGGGCTTTCCCTCTACCCGTCATAAACTGTCCAATGCACCATTACTAATTACTGCCAAAGAAATGGCAATCTGGTCATGGGATTGGCTCTTGTTGCTGGCAGCCTTACTCATCATCACAAAGGTGTAGTGAAAAAAAGTACACATCGCAGAGAATACCTATGACAATTATATTAAAGCTCCCTTCCTCTCCAAGACCCCTGCAATGTGTTCTTAAAGAAGACAAGAACAAAGTTGCAGAATATACCTGCAATATAACAGCAGTCTTGTTTAAGAACACATTGCAAGGATCTTGCTATCACATTATTGCTGTCTTATAGTGCAACAAAAACCGGTCAAAAATAAACCAAAACATTTGTGGCGTGACAAGTTACAGGATTTCAACAGGAAGTTATGAGCTTATGCACTGTTTCAGGTTGAAGAAGTGTGACTGCCCCAAACAGTGTTAAAAGTGGGAATGAGTCTTACTGTCCCAATAACACCATGAGCAGGAAATCATCAAGAATGCACAAGTAAACTGATGTCTGGAGAGGCCCCATGTCTTACTGCAGGCCAGTTAAACATAGGTCCCATGTAATGTCTCAAGTGCTGAGTCCCTCCTGCCCATTTCCCAGAAATATGTCTTAATGAAAAGAGGAACAAGGAGACAGTCAGTCTTCTAGCTCAGTGAAACAATTCATCTTAGCTTAAGCTTTAACCATACTGTTTCAATTAAACTTGACATTTGCTTGGGTCATAACTCCGGCTTACCTACAACAAGGCTAAGTGCATATCCGATGGGTGCCTGGGCCCAGGCCAGTCCATAGCCTGGTACATACACAGCCTCTGCTGTCCCGTTTATGTAACCACCTCCAACCCAGGTGGCTGAAGAAATGGAGATAAGCGTTAAAGCATGTAGTAGACAGGAAAAAGAGAAACAACATCCTTTATTTGTGCATCAAACACAGAATCGTAGAGAGGAAGAAAAATTGCATCTCGGCTAAAGAATGCATAGTAGATTTACAGCACAGAGTCAGCCACATCTACTAAGACATCAGTTCTATTGAATTCAGCAAGGCTTACTCGCAGGTAAGTGGCTTGGGACTGCAGCCTTAGCTACTCTACAGAACTAGAGATAACTAAAAGAGAGAGAAGTAAACTGTAATAATCTAGTACACCCACCCATGTGTTAACCTTGACGTCATTTGCTATTTTATTTCAGGTGCATGGCTGAATTAAGCTTTGGCTTTACTCATATGTTTTGCCTGCACACATAGAGGAAATGGCAGCATCTGTGATGTAGCTCTCTCCTGAGCAGCTGATGAGTTGATTCTCAGTGGCATCTCCATCAAATGGGGGGGGGGGAGTTGAATGCTCTTAGGCAGCTCACAGACAGAACAGATATGTTATTGTTATGAGTTTGTTGGGGGAGGAGTAAACTGTATGCTGAGATCCTTTGCCCGGGTCTCCTTCTAGTTCTTGGAATAGCCAGGCTAGCTTCCTGATGAGGTGATTGCCTGGGTGATGGGCCATTAGGGGGAACAAAGGAAGTGGAACTGTGTGAGATGGCAAATGGGTGGGGCGCCCTCCTCCATCTTGCGAGTAGTTAGAAAGACAAAGCCAGAGTTGAGAGCAGAGTGTAGAGTGATGTAAGCTAAAAGCAAAGCTTGACGTAGTATAACATCATACTATAATGTGGCTAGCTATTCTTCCTGTCCTGTGATCTCGCTGAAGGCAATTGCTGGTCTGTCATCAGACTGCACACCACCACCTAGTTCCTGACTCACTGCGGGATAAAATCCCCACAGACTGAAAGGGATACAATAAAGCATTCATCCAGTACCATGTTTCTGGTGGTTTAGTGATGGATAACAGACATAAACAGAGGTTGTGTGAAGCATGTATCCCAGTACTAATGCCGTACATGCTACCAATCTCCCCACAATGGAAGAGTCGCAAGGGGAAAATAATAGCAAAACTCGTGTTGCTATCTGCTCTGCTTGTGGTCATGGCAGAGAAGCTTGTTGTGTACTTAGCATTGTTGCCTGTCAAGAAAATGCAATGGGATGGCACAGATGGTCAATGCCGCTAAAAATCTTTTGTGTGTGTGATAGATATATGGGTAGGTTCTTAATCTTCTTTATTATGTGAAGCACAGACATGATCTGCTGAGTGATTTTGCCAATTACCAAAGCTCAGAACTGCTGACTCTTCAGGTTGATTTCATTTTATCAGTATTCAGTTTACATCTGAGGTGTTTGGGGTTGTTGTTTTTTTTAAATCCATTAAAGAACACCATCACCTAGGGTGATGCCTTATTAAGTAATACTCAGATTAGACCACTTCAAATTAGTGGATTTGTTACATGAGTAGATTGATTTCAGTGTCCTCACTCTGAGTATGACTAACCTCAGAATTCACCCCACAACTTAATTGTTATCTGTTTAACAGTAGGATTATCAAATACCAGACCCGCTTTACAGCCAATTTCAATACTTTGCCAAAAACATTCCTGTCAGTGTGAATGACTCCCAAGTCACTTTCAGACAAATTTACTCATCCCTCCCACAATCCATGCACTAAGATTATTCCATCTCCCTTAAGCAGTGCTGAACTGCATGCTTACCTCAGAGACTCTGAATAGAGCCCAGGTTTTCTACAAGCCACAGTCTGTCACCTATGCAACACGGTTACAGATAGATATGCCAGAGGCATGCAGCTGTTATCATTATGCCATATATTCATTGTATATTGTTGTAATAATTTACAATTCTACCTCACTCTTCCTCACAAAAAGCCCAGTTCAACAAACATAAAACAAAACAGTGTTTTTTTAAATGCCCCCCCGCCTTCTTTAGGAGCCCATGTCTTACACCCGCAATTGGTGTTTGGAGTATAAACTTAGCAAATAGAAAAAGGTATCTGAATCTGGAGCTGTGTTTCATCTGGTTTTAAGAGCATTTGCTAGGGCAACAAATGGCAGAGTTTTGATTTTAATATCAAGGCGGTCTTTCCCCACCCCTGGTAATCTTAATTCAGGATATTTTAAAACTAGAGAATCTTATGTTGAAATAAAGTTACAAATTCAATCAACTAAAGGGAAGAATACATGTAACTATGCAAAAGAGTATGTAATTAAGGAGAGAAGGAAACAGACTGCAATCTTCTGCCTCTTTAAGTCCCGTTTAACACAGAGAGTTGTCTCCAATGCCAGTCTCCTCCTCAGAGCCCTACCCATTGACATTAAAGGACATGACTAATTTAGGTGCATTCATTTCAAAGGTCTACTCTGAATATATTAGTTGGATATAACCCTGTGAGACTTACTTCAGAGTAAACACGTAGGATTGTATTGTTATTGATTAGAGTCCATGGGGTCTATTGTGGATCAGCTTCTGGCTTGTGGGGCAAATAGAATACAACAATCTAAGTACAAGCTCGTTGACTATCTTGGGTGTGTAGACAAAATGTGTAGCTGAATTGTAGACAAAAGTATGCATCTGTATTTTATTGGAATGCAATCAATTCCAAACTCAGGAAGTTCATTTATTTTGGAGATGAGATTTTAACTTTTTTTTAATACTAGGAAAAATGATTATATATGCAGTGCTAGTTAAATGTGTTTTGCTATTCCTTGTGTCTAAATCTGTTTAAATGTGTTGTTTCTTCTTAGTCCTGCCAGTAGGATTTGTTTGCATTTTGCGAACAGACACATTTAGCTTTGAATTCTTTTCTAAAATTTAGATGTTTTGCAGTCTTATTTGTCTTATAGGTATCATTGAACACATTTTGCCACTTTCTAAATATTTATTAACATCACTAATCACAGTAGACAGCTGGTGTTTCTCCTGACGAAACTGCCTGCAAAATTCTCATCATTTTCACGGCTGGCAATCAGTTCTGTTGACAGAACTGCATCTAGTTTCCTTTGAAATGTTAGAACCTTTTATTCCTGGCTGACAAAACACAGAACAGCAAACATCCCCCTGGCCGCTATTTTACAATTTGCACACTAAAAATCAGTGCATAATTACTTACACTGCAAAAGTATAAATGCTAGCAGAATTGGGAATTATAACCCTACCAAATATTCTCTTTTCTTTACATGGTGTATGAGTGGGTTCTCTAATGTGGCAGCTGTAGACACCCTGGAAACCTTAGAAATTCCCATGGCATACACCAAGGTTCTATTCCCTCCCAAATTTTTAAAAATTTAAGTTATCCAGGGGAGGTTTTTAGTTGTGGAAGCATGGTCTGTTTTTCTGGTCTGTGTTTCTTTCATTTGTGAGGCATGTGTGTGTGTATGCTTTGCCTATTTGAGGTGTTGTTGTTCAAAGTATCACCACTTTTTCTTCTGTGAAACGGGTATTTTGTGGTGTTCACAACTGTTTCTTAGATTTTAAAATGTGTCCCTGGACCTAAAAAGGCTGAGGACCCTGGGTGCATGGCTCCAGAATCTAACCTTTTAGACAAAGAGTCTTGTGACTCTCCACTTCATCAATGCTAATGCCACAATAAATTGATTAGCCTTCAAGACTCCTTGTTGTTTTTGCTTCCACAGACTAATGTGGCCGCTACTCTGGAATTTTTGTTCACAATAGGCAACCTTTCAAATCATGAGCAATAATTACACCCTGAAGTAAAAGGAGAATAAAGGCTCCAATTCTTTAATCAAAATGGTGGAAGAAGGCAGACTTTTTCTTGCTTTAACTGATATACTATTTCCCCTCCCCAGTTACAATCTGAACCCCAACCTAGCCTGTATTTGAATGAAAATTTCAACGAAATCAACAGGAACTCATTCGTTCAACAAAGTTATGCACTTATTTGCAAATTAGTGCTGGACAAGTTTAATCGTAAACCTGAAATTGACTGCACAAAGAGGGGAAGAAAACACTGAAAGAGTAATCAAATTTGGAACTGAAATGGTTTTTCTTTTGAATGAATTATCTTGTTTCTGAAGCAAAGCCCTTTATAACAAGTAGAGTGGGGACATTTCATATCTCATGCCATTTTGCACCAATCTGAAATGTCACTTTGGCAATTCTTGTAACTGAAGGCCCAGCCACAAACAGTTTAAACATTTTGGTGCATGATGACTCACCGTTCGGCTCCTTTGCCCTCTCTGATGATGTCATCATGGAGTCAACACGGCCTGACATTGTGTATAGGAAAGTAGACGTGTAGATTGACCCATCTTTTTCTTCTGATATCTGTGCAACATGAAGGCTGCAATCCTATGTGACTCACTTGGGACTAAGTCCCATGACACAGAGTCAGACTTACTTCTGAGTAAACATGTACCAGATTGCACTGCATGAACTACTTAACTATGTTGGCTTAACTGAAAATATCTTGCCTAAGTTGCTTTGAAGATCACCATGTGAGATCCCAAATTAAAGTATTTGATTAAATTATAATAAGGCTGGCCCAGTGAAATTCTTTGTGAAGTGCTACTGTAGTTGATGGCTACGTTTGGTTTAGATTTAACTTGGTGCACCTACAATGGCATCTGTCGCATGATATTTTGATCCTTCCCTATATGCAACATGCTTGTCCTATTCCGTGCAATGTTCAGAAGCATATATATATATATATATATGATGCATGCCGCATTGATAAACTGTTCTGGCTCCTGTTGGATATTGTGAAGCTAATAGGAGATGTGACTCATTCATTAGTTTTTATAACGAACAACAAGGGGGGAATATTCTATAAATCATGGTTATATCGACCTGTTCATACTGCATTATTCAGTAAGCCCAGTGGGGTGCATTTTCCAGAGGTGAAAAGAAAACACACAAGAGTACAGTTCTCAGTGTGACTACTCAGAAGCAACTGGTTGAAGCCTTCCTGTCAGAACTATTTATGTGGCATGCAATTTTACTGGCAGCTAAGCAGCACCGTGAAGTTGTGCCTTTGCACGGCGTACATTTAAATTCATGTCAGAGGAAGGATGTAGACATTTGAATAACAGGTAAAAAGAGAGGAACATACCCGTCATGGTAAATCCACCAACCAGCAAGCCAATATCTCTTCCGCCAACTATAATAGCTTCCCTACGATCTCCATCACTACCGCTGTTTTTGGTTTTCCATGCAGCCCATATTCCAACAAAGAGGATAGCCAGGTAGAACACAATGATAGCAATCAGTCCCGCCACATGAAAAGCCATGTTGAAGCCTCTCGACACTTCTCTGGATTGCTATTTCATTAACATGAGAGCTAGACAAAAGGTAATAACATATTATGCATATCAGTTGTACATGGCAAAACTCCCCAACAACCCTGAGTCCAAATCAGACAATAACATGATTGTCTTATCCTACAGTTCATCCTGATATGATTATGCTACTTCAGATGTAACCTGTTTTATGTTTCAGATAATCCACACACATTTCCTAAACATTGTAACATCTCCAAACAAATATTTCAATCTAAAAATCAAAGTGTCGGCTAGAAACTTGGTTGAAACAAAGTCACTTTATTTAAATCTTTCTTATAGATGATAAAATCGAAATGTCAGTTCAAAATCAAAGAACTCTCCATAAACCTCAAGAATATGAAAAAAGCAGCTTAAAATAGTATACAATGGTGAGCACATTTACTTTTTTTGGTTAAAAAAGAGCCAGCTCTTCCTTAACCAAAAACCAGTATCACAAAACAATTAAATTATTGCTCAAAAATGAAGGTCAGAAATGAAGTTATTTCTGCCACTTTTGCAAGCGTAGCTCTCATTTTCATGACATTTCTGTCCCTTGAAAAGGTCTGCCTCAAGTTTGCCGTTAAGAGAAACTCATCACTAGAAGATTTAAAGTGTGAATAGAATCCAACAAAATCAATAGCTCACATGAATGCATGGCAAAAAAGAGTAGAACTATTACCAACAGTTGATGTACCTTAGTCCGTCTCCCCCCATTCCTTCAGAATTTACTTTTGCTTTCACAGCTACCCTACATTTAACATGGAATCGAAAAGTGCGTTTTTGATCAAAACAAGAATGTCCATGAAAGGTTTTCTGTGTGACATAAATATTTAAGTCTCCGTAATAATCAGAGTAAAGTATGATCCAATTAGCTGACATAAGCAGGGGGTATCCAAGCGGGGCTTGGTAATTCCTTTCCCTCCACCCCATCATTAGTGACTATTTCCTTAGAAATTGTTGATCAGCTACTAAAGTTTGAGCAAAAGCAGGTTGCCGGAGGTGACATTTGAGTTTACACAGCCAATTTCTAAACTCCCAGACTAGCGTCAGTAACAAGTTAGATTTATTGGATTACTCACAACCCTCGCAAAAACAGGCATTGTTCCCGGCACAACTATCACCTCCTCCCAACTCCCCCTCTTTTGTTTCACTTATCCTCACCCCCAATTCACCTCTTTTTCCAGCAGATATCCTCTTCTCCCTTCTTCCTCTGCGTTCTGTCTCTACTTTCCCTTGATCTGGCATCAAGCAGCTCAATCCCAGCACCTTGTGTTCACCCACAGAGGCAGAGTGTGAGAAGCAGCTTTCCCTTTCTTTAAAGGGGCAGGCACAATTGCAAAGAGCTCCAGTCCTACGAGAATTTCAGGCTAGTCTGTACACATCCAGGGTCCTGTGTAGCACAGAAGGGAAGCCAGACATCTTCCTTTCCCTAAGAGGCTGAATTTCCTCACTTTTGGGGAACTGGTGCCTTCCCTTCTATTTCACCCCGTTCCCAATGGTTCTGTGAGACTACAGCTATGGAGGCAGCCAGAGCATCAGCCATCCTCAGTGGGAGAATTACCTAGGGCTCCACTCTCAAGGGAGAAGCAATTCTTTCAGGAGGTGATCAGGAACAGCAAAACAGAAGGCCCTTGGCCTGGATTAACCCACTACCCAGCCCACTGCCACAGATGCTGTTTCCCTTCTTCTCCCCCTCCTATTGAACCTATGCTCATTTGGGGGCCTGTGTGTGGTTATTGGATTAAAAGAGGCGATTCCGTTATAAAGGAGTGGGGTGCGGAGACTGCATCCGTCAGAGCTGGGACAAACACGTCACAGGGCAAATGGGGGCTGTGGGGCAGAGATGACTCAACAGAGCGTGATCTGCTACGTGGGGGAGAGAATGAAGAAGAGTGGAAAAAGACAATGAGTGTGGGACTGGAACATGAGACAAAATGCCAAGGGGTGAGTTTTAGGGTCCAAGACTGAGCAATCAGGAAAGTGAGACTTTGTCAGCAGTAGAAGTTCCTCTCTCTCTCTCTCTCTCTCTCTCTCTCTCTATCTCTCTCTCTCTGTGTGTGTGTGTATTTGTGTGTTTGTAACATTGTTCGAAAACATTCAAGCGGCTTAAGTAAAATGATTAGGTTTATTAGATTTTTATCCTGACTTGCCTCCACAAAAAGGAAAAAGCGCTCATATTACATTTGCTGAATTCAGGAATTTTAACATCACTATGGGGATTCTCTATTGTCCCAGTAACTTGGCTGTCACAGTGTTTTGCCATAAAATTGCAAAATCTGTGGCAAACCATCTCCTATAATTTCCTTTCATTCTCAAAGAATCTATTTCATTTGCCAAGAAGACCCAGTGAAAGCTTGAATATTTACTCCCAGTGTACGAGACAGCAGCTGTGCAGGAGTGTAGATGCAGAAGCTGGGAGTAAGTCCCGTTGAGCATAGCAGGGCTTAGTTTTGAGTAAATATGTATGAGGTTAAAGAGCCCTTTAAAATTTTGTACTTATTGGTGATGCAGGTGAGCACTGTTCACCAACTTCCATGTGGGGACCATTGTGGGCCATTTGCCCATGGTCATCTTCTGAAATGAAAGTTGGTTAAATGAGATTGGGCAGTCTAACAACATCTGGAGGGACACAGGTTCCCCATCCCTGCTTTAAGATAGTAAATAGCTCCAGATGGAGCTAAGTATTAGTGACCCCATCATAAAATGAGTGCTTCTACTATCCCAGATTGTTTGGGCATCTTTCTCTGGGTTGTTAGTGTGGGAGATAACACAGCCAAACATAACAGTACATATTCAGCAGTAAGAAAGGGGTTAAGGATCACAAAGTTCTGTATTGGTAGAGAAGACTCAGATTGATTGTGACTTCTCACCTTTGGGGAGGGAGGAAGCAAGCAAGGGTTGTTTCCTGTCCCCCCCTCTCCCTCTCCCTCCCTCTTTGAACCATGTAACTTAGCAGATGCCTGAGGCTGGGGCTCCAAACTTCTGTATTTCGTAACCAAGAATACCTTACCAATGTTGTTTCTGCTGTAGCATTCAATGATGCATGGGTGAGACCTCTGATTACTGTAAGTAAAGCATTTAAACTTACTTAAGGTTGTAGTCTATTCACTTTGAGATGGGTAGAGGTGGGGAAGCACATTATCAGTGCTTAACACTGGGATATTTACAGGTCTACCAACCTATATTTTCCACACTTTGCAAACGCTGCGCATATTTCTGTTTTAAACTCTACTGGGGTCTATTTTGGCTAAAGAGTGAGTCAAGCCCCACATTATTTAATTCAGGCTTTCCATTTTGTTTTGTTTTTTTACTTTTTTTTTTTACTTTTGTAGTTTCCCACACAAGTGGGATTTCAGAATTAACTGGTATCCCCCAGTTATTTCCCAACAGTTAGATCCTTATATTTATGAATATCTGTCCATGGCTCAGGCTGCTGATTTCTAACCCTTTATTTTCCTGCCTGCAGTCCTTGCTTGTGCAAGGGACATTGCTGATCAGGCTATAGGCAGGAAGAGGAAGGTCTACAGTGGGAGGGGTGGGCAATCATGAAGATTGTGTGGCGTATAGGCAGAGGAAGCCCATGTCTCACGCAGTTGAATTGTACCTAGTCAGCTCTTAAGAGGGCTCGGATCCAGGCTGCCTGGACAATGGCAGTTTTCAGGTGCAAGGGCACATTATCCAGGCCCTTGGCTTGAGATAAACAAAACAAACAAGAATAATACAGCATGAAGTTGTATTGCACTTGTTTTCTTTATTGCCATACTAGCCTAAAATCCTAAGGGCATTTTTATGGAAACAAGTTTCCAGTGAAATCAGTGAAACCTGCTCAAGTTTGCATGCACAGGACTGGTTGTATAGATATGAAATGACAAAAGTATATATAGCTTCTTGATTATAGCTTCTTGGCTTACATTTCACAGACATTTGTTTTCCCTTATTAAATTTGTGCACTTGTATTGCACACAGGCGTTCTCACAGCGGCTTACAAAACTAGCTTAAAAATTCAAATGACAAATTCTGCAAAATCCTATATGTTGGCCTGTTCCTGACCTGCCATATTAACAAAAGTCTATGTGGCTTTCTAAATAGGATCTTTCAGATGAGACATTCAGCACATTCAGCTTACTGACTTCTTTGAACAGAACTGACATCTGAATAAGGATCCTTAGAATAACATCTCTTGCAAACTTCAATTCCTTTATGGTGCAGGCTGTTAGGCACCCTTAAGTGATGGAACAGATATCTTTCCAGGGGAGTAGACCAACATTTTTCATTTTTAAATAAGACTATGTAACATGGAAAAAGAGTGAAAATACAGTATACACAATGAAGGTATGTGGCAGGTGTTTTGGGTTCACCCCCTCCCTTGCAAGTATTCTGATAAGTTATCCTACACAAAACAGGCTTAAGCAAAGTACTGTAGTGTGCTTTCATATGGAGTAGAAGACTATTACCCAAATGGAAGAAGCAACTAAACTGTCTCATTTGCTCTCTGTGAGTTTATGACCAAGAACCTCATCACTATGATATATAGACTCTCTGGGACTCCAAGAGCACACAAGCCCATCCACATCTTCCCTCAAAGCAATCAGTGACTGTTGATTTCTTTCAGAAAGATTTTCCATTTCCATGCGTTCCTCTTCCCCTCCCCCCTCAATTCCAGGCAGGTGGTTTGTCTAATCAATGGCCGGATAATTTCTTTGGGGACTCTGTAGTTGCTTAAAGAGATTGTACTGGGACACTCAAGATGAATGACATCCTGAAAGCCGCAATTTCAGTCTGTATGTATGTATGCTTTCTGATAATTCTGCTGTAAAGCATTTCTTAAATTAAGCATCTGCCACCAAAAAGTTCGCAAACCTGGCTTTAATGGGAAAGCCCATGCTAACCGAAAGCCCCATTTTCAATTTGATTACACGTAGTTTGCCATTCCTTCTTTTATATTGTTTTAGTATTTTTAGCGTATGCTGCTGTGATCTCCTTCTGGAGCAAAAGTAGGCTATACTTGATAACAAAACAA